GATGTACCAGGTTGTGTCCATAACAACAATACCAGAACCTTTGTCGGCGGGTTTTATAATTATGTCTTTACGTTCCTTAAGTGAGCATATGGCTTGTCGATCTGTAGGAGTGAGATTGTCCCGGATAGTTTTAGGTTTCCAGGTGGTTATGTCAAGTTTAACAGCATTAAGAAAGGTGTCAAGGGCTCGTTCTCGGTCATGTGGGAGTTCCAAGTGCTTTTGTTGTGGAAATGGGTGTCATTTTCGTTAGTGTTGGAGTTGTCACAGTTCTCGTTGAAAAAATATTCAGTTAGTCGTATGCGTCTTGAAAAATCGTAAATGTCTGCTGAAACTTCCGGCCTGTTGATATGTCGAGGTGTCGGGCAGAATGTAAATCCGCGTGAAAGAACAGATGTCTAGTCGGTAGTAAGGGAAAAACGAGATAGATTAATAACAGAAGAATGGTCTAGAGTAGTTGTATATACACCGTTTCCTCGCCATTTTTTATTTATAACAAAATTTTATACTATTTACCACAAAATTTGACTGAAAATATTTTTGCTACTTTTTTAAATAGACCGATACCTTAAATAACTTCATATTTAGATAACCACACTTTTTATATAACGAGTTAAATAAACTTGATTTTTAAATAACAACTTTTTTTAAATAACCCTCATATTTAAATAACCACACAAAATTATAGTAAAACTTTTTGACTCAAGGTTTGAGTCAAAAAAAGAGAGCTCGAGGGGGTTTACCCTCTCGAAGGGGAGCACGAGGGGCTAGCCCCTTGTAGGAGACTTCGAGAGGTTTAACCTCTCGTATAATACATTTAAAGAAGTATAAAAAAATAATTAAATAAAATATTTGTAAATAATAAATTATGGAATCATACACAGTACCAGAATTAAAGGCTATTGTAAAAAGTCTTGGATTGAAAGGATATTCACGCTTGAGAAAAGCTGAGCTTATTGAAATGATTGAAGAGTCAACAAAGGTCGATGTCAAGAGATCACCAAAGGATGATGTCCAGAGACCCGTTGATCTAATTTCTTTCGGAGGAGAGGTGTTGAAACCGATGAATGTTGTTGAGGAGAGAGTGGGTGGAACATTGCTTGATGAGTTAATACCTGAAAATGAGGTTGCAAACCAACAGAAAATAATATTAAAACCCACCAAATACACAAAAGCAACAAAAAACACAAAACCTACAAAAGCAACAAAAAAAACAAAAAAGATAGATAAAACTGTTGAATGGGGAAAACAAAAGGTTGAGGATTGGGGAAAATGGTTGAAAGAGGTAGACGCACCCAATGTCGTTATCAATAACAAGATAAAAGATTTCAAAGACACAATCAACGAACTTTACAAACAAAAATGGAATTGGCGTTTCAATCTTGTTGAG